CAAGAATATTCAGAGCTGCCGGGCTGCCCGCGATCTGCCAGCCTCCCTGGCCATGCTCGCCAGGGAAGGACGCGCGGATTGCAACCAAGACTGAACGAGCGGGGAGGGGAGAAGAAAGCCGTACCCGAGATTGCCCCACGCCTTGGAAGTCCAGGTAAAGACAGGCCGATCTCAAGCGCCCCCCAGACCCGACGGAGCACTTCCATGCGGCCGCCCCTAGCCCGGCGCGCGGCTGTGTCCGCGCCTCCCCATCCCTCGCAAGATCGCAGCCAGGTGGAGGGGCACTCTCGCTGCGCGCAGGCGGAAGGCGAGCACTTGGCCGGCGCGGTGGGCCTTTTTGGGTTTTCACGTTGCCCCACCAACAGCCGCCAAAGCCCCCTAACCCATCCGCCACCCGTCTGCGGGGTCCCGCGGGAGCGTCCTGGTCCGGGCCGCCCCATTCTCAAAGAAACAGAGGGAGACCGCTGCGATGGCTGGGGCGGGGGCGGCAAAGACCCTGAAATGGGGCGCAGGTCAGATTTGCAGGGACGGAGAAGCAGCGGCGCGTCGTCTTCGCGCCAGCGGGGAAGGCGGCGGGCGAGTGCGGGTGGCCTGCCGGGGCGGGAAGCCTTCTTTAAAACGGGCTTGTTGGGGGGGCGGAGATTGGGGAGGCTTGTGGGCGTCGCAAGTTGGGGAGAGGCGAGCCGCAGCTGCGGAGCCGACCTGATGCCTTCCGTACTGTGGGTATGGGAGGAAGAGAGCCATTCCTTTATAGCGACATCCAACCGTCGCTGTGCCGCTATAGCCGTAGTGAAGACAGCCTTTAGGAAGCTAGACGTGAGGGGAGTGGAGGCTGTCTCCCATCACTGGGAAGCATCTGCTTTCCACTCAAGCGATTAAGAGTCTCTCGAGTTCTGGGAGAAAGAGAGCAAGGAGATCTTGGCCATTATGGGATGCTTTTCCTACCCTTTGGCTGCAGCTAAAAACGGAGTTGGTGATGATGTCACTGCCTCTGCATCCGCCGGGAAGGGGGATACCTGCTTCCCCACTCTTGTCAAGATCTCCACAAGTGTCGGATTACAGGTCCCATCCTCCCCGGCAGACATGAAGGGAGTAGTGATCCAACACTTCTGGAGGGGGGCAGATGGGGGAAGACCAGGGAGAAAGAAAGAGGAAAAGGATAAGAACTCGTCCCAAGGTGGAAAATTCGCCTTCTGAAGGAGAAAAAGCGAGCGGGCCACGTTGTAAAAAGCCGGGAGCCCGAAAATCGGCCTCCTTCAAGGAGGCGTCTGCCCGCGACTTGGAAGGAAGAAGATCCAAAGGAAGGAG